TGTGATTGTTCATTAGAATGAAAAGATTGTATATTTCAAAAATTGGATCAAACAAATGGCCATAAAATGGTTTTTTAGGATTATTGCATTATATTACTATACAACGATTGCATGAAAATCATTGCCTTTTAATGTTTTAGTCATTCAATTACACAATTCAAAGTCATATGTTTGAGTTTATATGAAATGTTCTTTAAAAAAAGAGTATAGGTTACATGCACACAATTAGGTAGGTTTAATAACACATAACCCTGTAGATATAATCCTCAAGGGCTTGGAGTCCTTGATTTCACAGGCCTCCTGGGTATTTTATATGGCAAAAGATTTTATATTGATGCTGAACCTCCATTTACTCCCTTGGGTGAGACTGAATGTAGAATGAATATGTATCTTGTCCATGTCGAGATTTTACAAGGTCATACCTAATGACCAAAAATTGATTTAATATTTTTTATTTTATATTTAAATGAAATATTTATTTAATTTTTAGGGTATTGGTTTATTTTTACTAAAAAAAAAAAAAATCAATAAAAAATAACCAAAATATCCTTAATTTTATTTAATCAGGTTTTTTAAGTTTTTTATTTTGGAAATGACCATCTACAAATTCTTAAATGATCCTCAAATTTTTAGATTGAAAAATAAAAGTCTTTCAAAGGAGATGTTGATATTCACCATGCTCACGCGGGAGCATAGTACTTTATCTTAAAACTAGCTTTCTGCTAAAATGAAACTCCTCCCAGTAAGCGCGCTTGGGTTTCGCTAGGGTTTTGCAGACCGAGAGAGAGAGAGAAAGTGATGGAGATTGATGGAGGGGAAGCGGCTCGGCAGGTCCGAGTCCGTTTCATCACGAAGCTCCCCCATACTCTCCGAGTCTCATCCGCTTCAATAACCCTTCCGTCCGATGTCACTCGAGCCCAGCTCTCTAACGTCGTCAATACCCTGCTTAACACTGGTAACCCTTCTCTCTCTCTCTTACAATAAATTACTTTCTCTCGCTACCCATCTCTTCGTCTATCTCACTGTAGATTTCTACTGAAACGACGTGGAGCTTCAAACTCGTGTTTGAATGTGTTGCTCCCAAGTTAAAAGGTTCAGTCCCATTTAGTTTTTTGGGTGATATATTTTATATTTTTTGCATTTATATTGCCATAGCATGTGTTCTGGATTTTGTCATATGGCTCGCCTCCATTGCGACGCATGGTGTCTTTGTTGCCTTTGCTCTATAGCTATCGCAAAAATGCAAGATATAATCAATGAATCGATTCTCTTCTCTGTCCATTGCAGAGACGTTAATGGCCCATTAATTGTATCAGTTAAAGCGAAAAAAACAACGGACACTCACTGGATGTCGATGATTTAGGGTAGAACTAGAAGTATGAAATGTGTTTCCATTACCTGCAATTTTGTTTGTGTTGATGGAGACATGGTCTTATTTTTTGTTACACAATTGTTTGTTGAACTGAGTAATACTTGGAGAGTGTAAATGTTATATGTATATGCTATATGCTATTTTGCTTAATTCTCTGTGAAGTTTGAATTATCATTTTATTATTTGTTTATTTTATTGTATATTTGAGGGTCGCAGTCATTGTAATTGTATGGTAACATTGTTGCTAACTGAAGGTTGTTATTGCATTATCAGTTGTTTAACCTATTTCTCGCATGCTTGAATTATTTTCGTCCCTGAAAGTTTTTGAGATTGGGCTTGGGCTTGAGTCTGCATTATTTTTCTCATTTAATTAATTAAGGCTCATAAATTTTAAATGTTTTTATTTTGGCTCTTTAACAATTTCAGGTGAGCACGAAGTTTTTGATTTTATTGTTGATGGCGAATTGGTTCGCGTGCCACTTGAAAAGATTCTCATTGCCAAGGGCATTTCTGCGGTACTTAACCTTCCCTTTCAATGGTCCTATTATCGCTTATTGCTTAATCATCATTATTTTATAGTTATTAAATTGCAATTTATTACATTACTATTATCTCACTGTATGGGAGCTTACAGCTCAGGGGATTTTTTTATTTATTTACACTTTTCCTCTGGAAAAACTGCATAAGATTTAATGAGATGAAATTGAAATATTTTGAAATCACATTCACATACAAGAAAGTATGCGGGATCATGTAAACACAGATCAAAGTTGCATATATATCATCATCTTGCTGGAAAAAGTGGAAATGTTGTCCCCTATAAGAATGAGCCAAAAGGCCATAATTTTTTTTGACAAGGTTACGTAGGAATGGAACTTGAGACGTTGTGCTATGAAAACCCAAGCCCATAATTAAATTCATGTTCTAGTGTGAAGCGCTACTTGTAGATGGTTGTAATGGATCTAGGAGTTGGCTGGATGAGGCAGAGTGTTCTAGAATGGGGGCCTCGGGGTCCTATAACGTTATGTTGTCCCACCAACTTTGTTGGGCTTTGCCCACACAAAGGAAAAATCATTTGCCTGGGTTTGTGTTTATAGATGCACCACTTCCTTTGGGACTTCAGAGTTCGAGGATGATTGCACGTATGCTGGGTATTGTTTCTAATGCCTTGGACATTTTCTTCAAGTGTTGTATCACTTATATTGTCAACAGGAATTGGGATATGAATCATTTTCGGGTGTTCTAGCAAATGGTAGTGTTGGAGAGGTTCATTTCTTGTGGAAGGATCTTCTCCATTTCGGAAGTATGCTTAATAGTGATTGTGAGTTTTAAATTATCTAATGTTATGTTTGCCATATTATTTCTATTTTGTGTGGAGAAAGGTAGTTGCACCATTTGGGTCAATAGACATTTTATTCTCTTGGATTTATTTGTGGCTGAAGCTTTAGATAAAGTTAGTGGATTTAAGCTTTCAGATTCTGAAGCTAAAAGAAAGTTTCTCTTTTGTTTCTTTAATTTGATGCAGTTTATAATTATCAAAAAGGAAAACGTTGACCAACCATATTGTTTTCATGCCTAGGTTACTCACACATATTATATTAACTAACTTCTGTTCTTTTGTTTGGATATCATTTTGTACTATAGACTTCTATATTATTGTACCTTTTACATTGTTGCTTTAGATCCTTAAATTTGGTTTGCTGTATATTACAGGAGAAGGTGCTTGATATAGAATACTTCCGGGCTGTGGCCCCCCGGAGGCAACAAGAACCTGAATTACATGAAGACTGGGTCAGTGCTGTTGATGGTTCCAATCCAAGGTGAACATCCTAATTGCAATAATGAAACAAGATATTGACTTGCTTAACTAATAACAACTGTAGAACAGTTAACAACATAAAAAAAAAAAAACTAATAAGAACTATAGCTGTCACCTCACTTGCGTTACCTAGTTTACAGTAGAGTGCTTTCTGGTTATTGTGATTTTGCCATTCTCTGACCATCATGCATACATACACACATCCACATATATGTAGATACTAGATACACACATAATTGCTGCTGCATGCAAGTAAATTGTGAAGAAAAAGATAACTGCGACTACTTTTAAAGCCCAAAATTATTGGGACACATGTGGATAAAGAATTAACCAACGGGAAGTGTTTTTGTGATGCCTGGCCTTTCCCTCAGTGTTGAGGATGGGGCCATGAGGCTATCGGCACCATACATTTATTATGGAAGGCAGGGGATGAATTTGATGCATTGGCAGAAGCTCAAAAAGAAAAATTATTTTGTGGACTTCTCGACAATTTTTCAGTTTCTGCCCTGTCTGTTTTCGGACTGCTTAGATGGCCGAGGCCTCACCCTAAATAAGACCTTAGTCAAATCATACAAACCATTTATTAGCTTTCTAGGGCAATTTGTTGATATTATTCAGCATTACCATGCAATAGGGACTGTATGCTATGTCTTTTAAAGAGCATGCTGTTGTAGCTACATTCCCTAGGGAATCCATCATCTGACAAAGTTAGATGGTGGTGATGGGTTACATGCTGTATTTTGCCTTAAAATAAATAGATACCCTTTCCCTTCTTGCCCTTTCTCTTTGTAACTTCTCTCTAACTTTCTCTCTGAACTCCTCTCTTTCAAACTCTGCTGTTTCTCTCCCTAACTTCTCTCTCTTTAACAGTGCCATTTCTCTCTCTAATCCTTATGTTTCTGTAACTCCTTTATCCAATCATGCCCTCTCTCTCTCTTAATTCTTTTGTCTCTTTAATGATGCCCTCTCTCTATTATTTCTCTCTTTAACTGTGTCTTTTCTCTCCCTAATTTCTTTCAATCTCTAACCATTGTCTCTCTAACCTTTTTCACTTTCTACATCGTTCCTCTAATCATGCCCTTTATCTCTCTACTTCCTCTCTACAATTGTAGCTTTTCTCTCTAACTTCTTTCTATCTAACCACTATCTCTCTAACTCCTCTCTTTCTCTCCCCCCATCATGCCATATCACCTTCTCTGTCCAACTCCACTCTCTTGGTAATAAAGGAGGAGAGAGAAGCGGTAATGGTACCTCAGCATATATTTTTATAATTTCATTTCCTTTGGAATGACTTATCATTGATCTGCTGATTTCCTTTTTTTTTTTGGTTTTTTTTTATTGGCATATCCAGGATATGAGACATTTTGGGATGCATATCCAGGACAAGGGTGTCGAAAATCAAGCCAAACGTGTTTCTCTCCCTTGTAACCTGGATATGCAGATCCTAGGATCCAAATGGGCCATTAGTAATATACACCACAATTCATGCTAGTTCCTGGGACTTAAGTTTCTCGTTTTCTTCTGTTCAATTGCAACACTGACATTAATGTTTTTACTGCAGTGTCATATTGACTGGATGCTATGACAGTTTTGGAAGGTAAAAGTAATTTCAAATATTCCAATTGTTTAACTGAAGAACTTCAAGGGCTTTATATGTGTGATTTTTTAATTGTTTTTTGTAGTTTTTCTTTGCCTGATTGCTATATACAACTTTCAACCTCTTAATGTCTCAGTTCTGTTATTTTTTGGACAGATTATGGAATTCCAGTCGATTATGCACACATATACTAGAGGGGCATACTGATGCAATAACTTCTGTCTGTATCATCAATTCTAAAGGTTCTCTCGAGCAAGAAAATATCCATATCTGTGCAATATAAAGATCTATATATTACAAGAAACAAATTAAATCCAGAGTTATTTGTATTTCTTTTCTGCATGTTTTTCTCATTAGGTAATTAGTTACATGCCTGAGAAACATTAGAATTTTGTGATTTGTTTGAGGACTTTCTATGTGGAAATGTCTCAATGATCCTTTTGTTGATTGTGCAATGCATTCACAAACATGATATAATGATGGAGATATTCTTTTTGCAGCAGGAAATCTATTCTTTTAGTAAGGACTTGGGAATTTCTTAGAATAGTCCTAAGTCATTTGTTCTTTGGTGGCTGCATAAATATTTCCATACTTTGTTTAGTTAAATTAACTTATGCAAGCTTATTTTTCAAGTTTGATTTGAAGTGCACACACTCTCTCTCTCTTGCCACACACACGCACACACACACACACAGAGAGTAATCGGCCAATGGGTGGCATTAGCTACTTTGAGAAGTAGGATATGTTGGACCTCAAATTTTGCACACATTTACATCAAGGAATTTAATTTGCACAAAAAGAGGGGAGAAATTAGTCCGCCCGTTTATGTGAATGTAGGTCATTGCTTTGGTGGATGATGGATCTGGGCATTAAAGAATCTCAATATATATATGTGTGTGTGTGTGTGTGTGTTTTGGACCTTGGATTATAATGTAGCTATAAGCTGTTGGCTTAAATGGCTTGTACAAGTTATTCCCTTGTGAGTATTAGTTACTGAATGAAGATAGGGAACCTCAGTAAATCGATACATCCATACATTCCCACTGAAATGGGATGCTACTGCCTATGATCTGGGACACCAAATAATGGCTCACATTGCCAAACCGTGGAGGCTTCTACATGGTTTGTTGCAAAAGGAAAGAATGGCGCATGGAGTTGAATGGTCTTCCATGTGGCTACCAACACCACATCCATCTTGGATATGAATTTAATAACTATTTGGTTTTGTATGGCCATTTGCTTTTCAAATTTCCATGGTTATGGCATCATGAATCCCTATATGCTATCGCAAAAATCAACTTTGAAAAAAACATGAAAAGTATCTACAAATTGATTTTGCTAGTTAGTCCATTGCAGATGCTAGGTATTAAATTATATTCCTTAGTTATATAACTGATATTGGGGTCTTCTTGCATAACTTTTCATTAATTGAAGTGCTGTGTTGTGTAGCTGATGAGAGTAATGACAGCTTCCATGTCACTACTGCTTCAAAGGATCGGACTCTGAGACTGTGGAAGGTGTACAAAATAAAGTCTATTCTTTATTTTATTGGTTATCTGGCTGCAATTTTAACATCTCTTTTATGTATTTAGTGTGATGCAACTGATGGCCCATATCCTAGAAGGATTAGAGCAGTTAAAGTTCTGAGAGAGCATACATCAGCCGTTCAAAGTGTCTCAGCAGGGCCTTTTGGAAATATGGTCAGTTTTCACTAACCTAGTGGAATATACCATCCCTGATCGTATCTCTTCCGTTCTTTTTTTTTGGTTGAATTGTCGTTTGTTGAGGATTTTACCATGATCTGGCACTTCTATTGCGTTACTCCAGGTGTGCTCAGGTTCATGGGACTGTTCAATTAAGTTGTGGCAATCGGACTATCCCAATATGGAAGGTGATTCAGTGTTGATAAAAAAGAGAAAGATGGACAACAATGCGGCTGCACGTGAAGAGGCTCTTTCAGAGGTATCGGCACCATTGTGTTACTGTTACCAGTCATCATGATCTTGTAATGCTGCTGTTGTGTGATGCCATTTTTTCAATTAAAATTGTTACTTCCCTTGATAGAAGAAGGCAAGCATATGATCAATCACTGGTCTTTTGGTGATTGTATCTGTCTTACTGGTGTTTTCTAAAACTTGTGAACTTATTACTACCATTTTCTTGTAATTAATTATGGCGACCGAGAAATCTCTAATATTCACTGAAATGCCAGTTATAAACTGAGAAAAAATATTGGCGATTGAGTTTGAAATGTTGAGCTTGAAGCTTAACAGAGGATGTTCCTCTTTTGACTCATCAGTTATAAATTGAAGGTTGCTTTTTTTTATTGGTGAAGGCTACTTTGATTTCTACAAATGAGACTTCCTGATTTGTTTTATGATTTTTCTGATTTCACTATATCAATATACTTGTGATGGCATATTAAAATTATTTTAAAACGATGTATTTTGGAGAAATATATGTTTTAAGGAAATTTTGGGATCGATATACGATATTGTTCTGTTGTCTCTATTTTTCCGAGCAAGAAAAGGAGAAATGAGAAGACTTCCTAATGATGTGCAATGTCATTTTCCGTTTAATTTGTTTACTGAATTACTGAGTTACTATTGCCTGCATCTGTTGATGTTTTTTATGTGATGATATTACCTTCCCAGACTGGAAAGGCTAATTCTGGCCAGATAATTTTATTTACAAATGTCCTTTACTTTTCTTTCAGGAGGGTGCTATATCTACATTTCTGGGGCATACACAATGTGTATCCTGTATTGTCTGGCCGGAGCAGGAAACCATCTATTCTGCCTCTTGGGATCATTCTATTCGTATGTGGGATGTGGAAATTGGCAAAGACACTGTGAATATGGTATGCCTAGACCATTCTTACACACATATAGATCTATATATTCATAGTATATACACACAAAAACATATATCTTTTTGATATGTTATGAGTTTGAACTTTGTAAGTATGCATCACATATAGGCAAGTACTTTTCCAAGGGGCTTGAAGAAAAATTCTCAGCCTCGAACTGTGGGTTGGCAAAAAGGATCACTAAGATTAGAGCATTATCCTACCTATTTAAACAACATTTAAGGTTAGTACTCATTATCTGAGAACTGGGCACTTTGGATTTTATAGCACTCTGGAATGATGGAAATAACTTTTGGTCATCGCTGTAAAAATCCTAAACTCTAATTAAATTCCTGGAGTTCTAGATTTTTTTGTAAAGAAATGCACGTTTGATGGCTCTTCAACATTAGTTCATATGTCATCTAAAGTTGTAATAGGTTGTGATAGAAAGGAATTCCACAATTTGTTTAAAATTCTGCAGTTCATCTCTCTCCACATTTTGGGTGTAGGACACATGCACACATATTTTTGATATGTTACAAGATCGAATTTTGGTAAGATGTCATCTGAAAGTTGTAATGGGTTGTGACAAAAAGTAAGGAATTCGACAATTCGTTTGAAATTCTGCAGTTCATCTCTCTCCACATTTTGGGCATAGGACACGCACACATATTTTTGATATGTTACAAGATTGAATTTTGGTAAGCATGCATCACACATGTGGGTCTCTAACGGGTTTCAGAAAAAAATTCTTGGCTTGGAACTGTACAATGTGCTTGAAGAAAAGGGTTGTTAGGCCAGGCTTTCTGGAATGCTGGAAATGTCATTTTGATCCTCACCGACAACATCTTCTGAACTTTTAATCAAATTCTGGAGCTCTAGATGTTCTCTTTAACATATAAGTTCATAAATGAGCTGAAAGTCAATGGGTTTTGAGAGAATTAAATAGTTCCATAATTTATTTGAAATTCCACAACTCATCTTTCTCCTTCCGTTCTGTGATGGAATAATTCCAGAATTATCTAATTCCATAATGCTCTCTACTTTATTATTATTATTATTTTTTAAATGCCTTTATTCGAAGAGGTTCGAAGCATTTTTTAAAACTCGGAATCGTGTTTCGGATTGCCCACTCATTGTATCTATATGGATCAGCTGGATGGGTGAAAAATATGTTAACAAAACAATAAAGAACAGACTTTGTGGGGTTCAGGGGTGGGGACCCAGATCCCCCACCCACCGAACCCGATCTAGATCGGTGACTCCCAATCTGGATTACCAAATTTTAAAACCCTAGTTCGGAGGAACTTTCTACAATTTAGATTTACTCACTCAAATTGTTACTTAGTCTCTTAAACAAAAATAGTATGTCTATTTGTCTTAATTCATTGAGCACTGCACACTATTCTCACACTTTCCTTTATTAATGCCTGGGATAGTTGGATTTGCGAATCTGCTGAGAGTTATACTACTTGGTCTAAATTGCAACTAAAGAGAGAGATGGCCAGGTTGTTTGGTTTCTATTTGTTATAATGTTGGATGGTCATGTTGCATGCCTAGTGAGCTGAGCTACTTGTTTTGAGTTATGGGAGTGCTTTTCTGTTTGTTAATACTTATTCTATTTTCTATTTTGATGCCCACTTTCCATCTTTTGTCCCTCTTTCCCTAACATTTCTTTATTTGACTAATGTCAGTGTTTAGTTTTACACCAAATGTTTTTTTTTTTTCTCTTTTATAAAAATTGTCTTCTAAGATTTGATCGTAGCGTTTTCCATTCAGGTGTTGAAGAGTATTTTCTCTTTCTTGGTCGTTATGGTTCCCTTTGCAACCATTCTGGTCTTCTGTTTTCTTCTTGTGGTCTTTTCCTTTTTTACCTTTTTTCGTGTTTTTATTTTTTACTCAATAGTTCATGCATGGTTTTGATGTCTTCGTCGTTTATTAATACTATTTACTTCTTTAGCCATGCTTTTTCATCTTGTAAAAGTATTATTCTGATAATCACTAAGTTCAGCTATATTCACCAAAACACCTTGTGTTGGGCGCTACATGTGATGTGCTTATATTACGGGGTTGCTACTTGCTACCAGCAAGCCTCTTGAACTTTTTCCTCACTCTTGTGCTTTTGCGTTCATTTTGCATATTGATCTGTTTTATCTTTCAATAGGTTGGAGGGAAGGCTTGGAATTGCCTTGATGTTGGTGGTGAAAGCTCAGCCCTTATTGCTGCTGGTGGTTCTGACCCTGTTTTGAGGATTTGGGATCCACGGAGACCAGGTGATTAATAACAAAACCTCAAAATGCAAATTTTTTTAATAAGAAACTGACACTTGCCTATGTTTCAAAAACCTTTACTCTGGAATGCTACTACCTATTTGGGGATGGGAAAAGTTTATATAGAGCTGAGGCTCTAAACAATCAAATTTGAGCCTACCTCAAAAACTTCTCTAGAAAAGGTTGTTTTGATACCCAAATATACTCAAGTTGATCATCTCGATGTCAAGATACATGGACATGAAAAAAAAATGGATTTCAAGTTTTGGAAATAGTGTATTTTGTAATGCATTTTTTGACCGTCAATTTTCAAGATTTTCAAGTTTTCATAGATATTGATCGACACTATTTTTTAAGCTTTAAACTTTATAAATAAAGATAAAAATATATTTTAAGACTATCACAAAGATTTCTGGTATTGAAACCACATTTCTTGACACTATTTGAAGGTAGGCTCTAATTTGATTGTTTAGAGCCTAGGCTCTATACAAACCGCACCCTAGGGGATTCATCCTGTTTATTTGGTGGTTATGCTTGAAGGGTTGCTAGATTGTGACCGTTCATTGGAATCCTGCTTTAACCACCCATAAAGAGAAGACATAATTTTTTTTGTGGAAAAACAATGCTTACCGGGAACCATCTCAAAATTCAATTTGAGATGATGAAACTGCTCTTTACCTATTAGAAATACCTGAGACCTCTTTCTTTTGTGGATGGCAGTGAGCATGTTATTTGTTCTGTCATTGTTTATGATCTGAATGAAACTACAAACAGAAAAGTCAAAAACTGGAAGCTATGGGCTGCCACCTCTCCTCTCTCTCTGTCTCTCTCTCATGCATGTCTTCTGGTTTTAACAGGAAAATTGGATCCTGTCTACAACTTTGCATCCCACAGGTCATGGATTACAGCTTGCAAGTGGCATCCTAGGTCATGGTTTCATCTGGTATCATCATCACATGATGGGAAGGTGATGTTATGGGATTTGAGAGCACAGGTATGTCTCTTATTCTTGCCATCTCTGATACTCAAGCAATGGTTCGACTGCGTAGGTAAATGACATGGCCATTTTCTAATGAATGTGTTTGTTGCAGTTTCCTTTGGCCGTAATAGATTCACACAAGGACAAGGTAGCTGCTTTCCCTTCTTCCCATAACATTTTTGAGGACATGTTATTGAGTCAAGCTCTTACATAACCATTTTGTAAATTTCAGGTACTATGTGCAGATTGGTGGAATGGTGACAGTGTAATTAGTGGGGGAGCAGATGGAAAGCTTTGCATTTCTTCTGAAATTTGTATACCATAAGGTATACCTCTAGCACTGGGACTGTTTTTTGCAGGCATACTGATTTTTTTCGGCGGGCTACTCATTCATATGGAAACTTTCCCCATGTTTTTATGTTTCATCTTTAATATTTTCCTGATAAGGTTCTATTTGGATAATTTATCTATCGTGCGGAAACTTTCAAATCCCTGTTGAAACTTTTTATTTCCTGCTAATTCTTAAGCTATGTTTCTGAACTGCCTGGTCATTATTGTGTATCTTGTAATATTAGAGTATAATGCTTCAGAATTGACTCAGCCCCAGTTTCAGCTCATTTAAGAGGAAGATAAACGAACTACTGCTTCAGGCAAGAAATCACATCATACAAGGTATGGTGAGTTTCCTTTTTGTTTCTGGGAAGATTCACTGAGGCTTTTCTATCGTCAAATAATCGATCACGCATGAAAAGAAGTTCTTGTGGAGGAGAGGCAACTGATTTTGTGGATTGACAAGACATTTGGCTTTTAATTATCTGAATATCCTTACTATACTGATATTATAGGCTGTGTACTTTTGGAGAGCTTGAAACACTCGTAATTTCAGGAGGTGTACATGCACGCAGCAAATTTGAATTAATGTATTAATGTACTTGTGAGCTATTGAATATGAGACATTGTAAAATCTTATTTCGAGGATTTGATATAGCTGATTTGCCTTTCCTTGGAAGATGCTTTCTCTCTCTCCACATGTGCTTGTCGATGTATTCAAATGGTGCTAGGTTCTAACATTTGGTAGGGTGTAAAATTCTTAACATGTGCTTCTCAGTACGCGTACAAATTTGTTTGAATACTTGTTGTATACTTAATACACACACACATACCTTTTTGATTCTGCATCATTTTTCTATGTTTTTCTTCGTTTTGATTTATTGGTAACTAGGAAATTCAAAACTGCATGGTCTGAGAGAGACTTAAGATTTTCAGAGATCTTCATAGCCGAAAGCAATTTAGGAACCCATGAAGATGTCAAATTCAATCATGACGGTCTTCCTAATTTGAAATCTGTTGTTTGCATTTCTGTATGTGAAATTTATACCTGATCTCTAATCATATTTGGCTCTAATTGGTCCTATTTTCAACCAAAAATGAGTGTGGTCCAAAACAAAATTTCGAGCAGCTGTAAAAGTGGGTAACAACTCATTGATCTTTATAAATATGATGATGAGTATTGTGTATGAGCACGCACCACCAAACAAAATTGAGCAGCCAAAAAAAAAATTGAGTTGCAATAAAATTGAACAATTTATTACCCACCTTGTATAGATATGCATGGACGGTGGATGTTACGTATGTGTAACCTGTTGTGTATTTGTAAACATGGATGGTAGATGTTGGCATGTGTACCTTGTTTTGTACTTGGACTAGGCTTGTTAGCCATATATCCAAACCTGCTTTAAACTCATGCAGCTTATCCCAATTCACGTACAAAAGAAAGTGAAGGAGAAATAGTAATAATGATCCAAATGTATTATTTGTTAAAGCTCAAACCAGAAAAAGAAAAAAAAGAAAAGAGAAATTAGAATATATATAAAGAGACTTATGCAATGCTATCAAAATTGGATCGGCCAATGAACCAAATTAGACTGGTACAATAGATAATTGAACCAGTTTAAAAATAAAAGAAAAAAATATAAATAACAGTTTAAATTTTCTAACATTGTTTAATGGATATAACCGTATTCAATTTTTGTTTTGAATCAGACCAGCCAAAGTAATAGTTAGTGGGTTGTACGACTAGACCAAGCTGGCGGGCTGCACGACTGGGCTAAGCTGGTATCGTCCAGCTTTGGTAAGTAACTATGGTTATAAGAAAAGTATTTAAAGAGTATTAGAAGAACAATAAAGTGCCCACGGTCACCGTTTTGCTTGCTCTCTATACAAATAAAATAATCAGTTTTGTGGGTGGCACTCTCCCGCATTAATCAGGATAGTTGGTTGAAGCTAGCCTTAAGCAATATGAAACTCAAACTAACTGAAGCCCACGGTCACCGTTTTGCTTGCTCTCTATACAAATAAAATAATAAATTTTGTGGGTTGCACTCTACCGCATTAATCAGGATAGTTGGTTGAAGCTAGCCTCAAGCAATATGAAACTCAAACTAACTGAAGCCTACGGTCACCGTTTTGCTTGCTCTCTATACAAATAAAATAATCAATTTTGCGGGTTGCACTCTCCCGCATTAATCAGGATAGTTGGTTGAAGCTAGCTTTAAGCATTATAAAACTCAAAACTAACCCAAGCTAAATATATGGTGTGGCCAGGACGAGTGCCTCACTCCAATTGGCTCTATGTACTATTCTTACAGAAGATTACTATGTACATGTATTTTGTGTGTGTGAGAGAGAGAGAGAGATGAATCATGGTAGTTTATCTGCAATTTTGCTGAGGGCTTCAGCGAGCTTCCCCAACACTCCAACTAGCTTTTGAGCCTGTTCACTTCTCTGATTTCTATCCATCTCACAGTTGAGATTGTGTGACTCAATATGAGCAGCCAAAACCCTCCCATTTCTCTCAAGAATTGAAAGTATTCTCCGCCTCACCTTAAACCCGTTCTCTTCATCGTCTGAAGCATGCGTTCTTTTCAACCCGGTGCTTTTTGGAGCTGAATCCTTCTCACTGTTAGGAGGTAGAGGCTTCTCAGATGACATGCCTGCAAAAATTAAGACAGCCATTAAAATTAAGACAAAGTGATTAACACTGTCCCCTTCTCTTTGATTTTTTTTTTCCATTTCCCCTCTCGTTGTTTGAAACATTGTTCAAATAATTGGACTCGAGCTCCAACTCACTAGCGGTCCGAGCCCGTGTCCTGGCAGACCAACTCGGGCATGTCCAAGTCTGACAAACTATTTCTAATAGGAAATTGTAAAATCATAAGAAAAATCAGAGAATGCTTTTCCGGCCTGGAATCACTTGTCTCCCAATCCGAGCTAAATCGGGTGATCCAAAGTCAGCTCAGCAATTGAGAAAATACTAGTAGTTTGCTCATTCAATTCAAGTTTCAAATTAACCACAAGAAAAAACACTCATACAAGATTAAAATTAATGAGCAAGCAAGGTATAACGAGCTTACAAAACTGTCCAAGGATACCAAAAAGAAACACCCCCACACTTTTCCTTCTATTATATTTCTAGCAATATCTCCACAAATTCACTTGGTGTTGCTCATTTTGATATGCTTGTTATGTTTCACAACTTGGTCTTTGAGAAGATTCTTTTCCCCTGTGTCCCCATTTCTTAGAAACTCAGAAGTCATTAAAATCAAGCTCTTCCTCTTTTAGTCTTTGAAAAATAATCAAATACTTAAAAGGAAATGCATACAATGAGACTGTTTACTTTTGATACAAGAAGGTCGCAATCATCATTGACCGTTAGATTAGAAATCAGGTGGTTGAAAATGTGTCATTCTTTGGGCACAAAGTCAAAAACAGAAATTCTCGAATGTTGTAACACACTTTTATTTATTAGATTTCACATCCTATGACTAAAAGTCATAGTGACCTCCTCGTGCAAAAAATAAACAGTCTCATAGTATACAATCCCAATACTTAAATCTGCTTTTGTGGTCCACTAACGTAAGTATGATGGATGTCACAAAATGAATGTAACACGCTTGGATTCAAGAAATGAAGCAGAATGAAGACTATTTTGAGGAAACAATTTAAATCATGCATCCAAAATCCTTCTGAGTTTTGAATGTCGTTTGTATGGCATTTTGTTTAAAAAATGGTGAAAGAAAATGAAAACATGATATAAAAAATGAGGAGAAGAAAATAGCAGTGGATTGGATTTTTAAAATGTTGTCCGTAAGCTCTTCAATCTACAAAAGCCTACTGAAAAGAATCAAGTAATGTATATTCAACACGAGGTTCCACCTTTGGATACTTGCATGCCAATTTCATCAGAACCAACCAGAAAACTAGGACTACCACAATGGTCTAGCTTCCTCACACACACACACATACACATAATGGGCAATTGGGTTATTATTCATTACTCAAACTAATCAAATCACATACCAAAGCAGTACCAATTGATTGCGATCTCAAATGTTTCAATGAACAGTTCAAATAGACAGTCTCTCTCTCTCCCCCTCTCTCTTACCCACACAAACACATGTACACACACATTAAGATGGCATATACTGGTCATACCAAAACCAATTCCATCCAGCGAATAACCAGTCAGAGGTTCCAATGGGCAATTCATGTATAATTCAAACTCTCTCTCTCTCATTGCCATGTCAGAGACTTTGGTAAGAAATGAAAACCCAACGGGCAATTCTGTATAATTCAAACTCTCTCTCTCATTGCCATATCAGAGACACGGGCAATTCATGTATAATTCAAACTCCCTCTCTCATTTCCATATCAGAGACTTCGGTAAGAAATGACAACCAACCTGGTGGCGGGGTGGCAGAGGGGCTCCCTGTAATTTCCTTCCCTGGGCTTTCCGGAACATCTTCCTGGGCCTCTGAAAGCTCGGCATCCGAAAAAAGACCCTCCTCGGTGGTCCCTCTCCCTGCGTTTGGGTCAGTCTCATCTTCCTTCACAAAAGAAGAACAACCACCCTGCTGTCTACCACAGGAAAAAGCCCTCTCAATAATATCATACAATTCCCTGTCAAAAAACCCTGGAAGCTTACTCTCTCTCCTCAAATCATTCCTCAACAACCAAAAGGACTGGTCCTTGTTGGACCTCTCCCACTCTCTGATCCTCTTATAGTCTCTGGATAAAGTGCTCCATCTCTTTCTACACTGGACTGGTTCCCTGTTGACCCCATGTCTCTTGCAGTAAGAAGAGATTGAGGACCATTTCGATTCAGTATTTGCAGGACCACCATCAAAGACCCTGTATTTCCTGCCTCTGCTCTCTTCCACTCTCTTCCCTTCTATCAAGACCACTATTTCCTGCCTGGTCCATCTGGGAAATCTGGGTGGGGCTATTGGGTCCACGTTAGAGGGTGAATTGCTAATTGGGTCATCTCTGGTTTCTGCAACTTGGCCTGAACCATGTTGACATTCCATGGACTGGTTGGGGTTGCCAAAAACTGGTTTCTGCGATGAAAATAGGAGGTTTTGGGGTGTAGAGATTGGGGTTTCTGGGGTACGGTGCCCAAAGAGAGAGAGAAAGAGATGGTGGTTGTGAAAAGATGGGGTTCTGGGGCACCCCAAGAGGAGAAAAGAGAAGGAAATTGAAGTGTGAGAAAGAACGGGTTTGGGCGGTTGGATGTGGTCTTCTGTTGTGTTGAGTAATGAAGATGCTGAGAGAGAGAGAGAGAGAGAGAGAGATCGGTGTTCATGGTTGCCCTGCCCTGTGGATTGATTGGGACTGGGAGGACTACGCGGATCAGTTAGATATGGGATGAGAGAGAAACAGCTCCCCGAGGTTTAGGTTTGGTTGAGGGACTTCTCAGTGGTCTCTAGGGAGATAAATAGTAACTGTTGAATGAGAGAGAGATAGGACGACTACCAAAACTTTCCTAGGGGTGACGTTTGTATAAGGCGTCAACCTTATACTATTGAAATAAGGTTCACCTCAAAACGATACCGAAAATGCAATTTTGGCCCTGCAAGTCTTGTGATGATATAAAAAATTATTTCTATCCCATCATGAAATTTAAAGTTCTACAAATGGCGATGATCAAGTATATACTTGAAAATCTTGAAAATAGACGATCCAAGTAATGTATTAAACTATGAACAATTTTTAAGACTAAAACTCGTATTTTTTTTCATATGTATGAATTTTGAAGTCAAGATGATCGATTTGAGGGTTTTACAATATAGAAAAAAATGTTCGTAGTAGATTTGTTTTTGTGCACCTTACGTGTACAGTATAAGGTTGACTCTCTATATAAACTTTTTCCTTTTGCCTTGTAAACTATCCTTGTTTCAATTTTTGAAAGAGCAGTCATGCATCCGGAGTATGGATGATCATAGAATACCCCAAGGCAAAAGTTAGGCCATAAAAATTTAGTGAGAAGGCCCTCCATTTAGGTAGGGGTGGCAATGGATCGGGACCTAGACCCGATCAGGGTTGGGGTACAGGTCAAAAAATCGAACCTGACAGGTTTTGTCCATGCTTAAATCTTGGACTATTCGGGTTTAAGTCCGACGATGGTTTTTGGGTCCCAATATATAAAATATATTTAATATAATCAAATACATAGATATTTTAATTTTTTTTAGTTGCGTCCGAGTCCTAGTCCGGATCCAGGTCCAGATCCAAGTCTAGGTCTCATATTATTTTTTCGGATTTAAGTCCGGTCCGACAGGACCTAGACCCAACCCGACCTGTTGCCCCCTAGGCCTATATACTAATGTATGTGGAGTTATAAGTGGGCTTAATCATTTCGTTTCGTTTTTGTCATTTGAGTAAAATTACGGTATTTAGCTATGGCATTGTAGACATGTTATATTAATGTCGGATTTGTAGTTGCTTTATCTTGATCCGGCTATCGATGGACAAGATCAAGTAGTAATAATATCCAAATATATAGCATCAGAAAAAGTTTACATCCTTCACGCCATTGCCGAGCTGACAACAACGCACATTTTTTGGTGGTACTATTTTCTTTGTTCTTGACAAACTTCTTTTTTTGGATCAAAAGTCCATTATATTGAAAAAATCTCTCAAAGGATTGATACTATGTCTCTCCCCCTATCTCTGAACATTTAAAGAATCAAGATACCTAAAGAGAGAGAAATTCCAACTTCGCTCTTTGGTGCCATGCTTGACACCAATGCTTCCTTTCCATTCAAGGAACATTCTCTTCACGAAAATTCCCTCTTTGGCGTTTTCTTTGGGCTATTTTCTATTGGACTCTTAATGCAACTTTCTTTTTCTGGATATCTTTTATATAAGCCCCAAATTAATGTGAACAAATTGTTGGATATTATGATTTTCGAAGTTTTCTGGTGGTGAAGTTTGAATTTGAATTTGAATTCGAATTCGGATATTGATGGATGGAAAAAGTTTATGTAAGGTTGAAACCTTAAAATGTAGAAATAAAGGTGCACCTCAAAAATCCATAATAAAAAGTGGTTTTGATGCTGGAAAAACCTCTAATTGATCATCTCGCATGGAGATGTATGAATATGAAAAGAAAAAAAGATTTGGAGTCCGTGACATAGTGTATCTTGCAACACATTATCTGGAGGGTTCATTTTCAAATTTTCAATGTGTTTATTTATTAGGTTTATGTGGCCTTTAAAGGCCTTATGAGAGCTTGTATGAGCATTTTATATAGTGGAACATAAACTCAGTGGGAGTGTGGTCCTTTTGTGAACCATACTAGGCATATGCTATTTGTTGATACTCGGATTAAGCTCGACAAGCTAGGCCAGCCAAGGTTTGGAAAAACAAAGATAACTGGGCATAAGGATCTACCGAGAAGAGTTTAGTGAGTTATCCCTTGATAAGGTCGGAGGATGCCCATATGAGAGCCAATGGACTGTGTGGCCCTTGCGTGTGATGAATAGCCTTTAGAGACATGACTAAAACATCATCGTCATATCATCGCACGACATGTACATAGATAACCATTTTAAGATTCGCCAATAAGGGTGAAGCGTGTACATATGAGAGAGATTACTCTTGTGCACCATAGAATCATGGTTGCATCATGGTCTGGAGGACCATGATTTTTTTGTCTCTAGGGGGAATCTAAAATCCAAAACTGGGATTGTGTCCCCTAGTCTATTGACTGACTTTGGTGGTCCAATCATGAGCCCCTGCAATGGACTGTGGGTCATGGGAACTGCTTGGCCAGTTTGAAAAAGCTCGACGGATCATGATTCGCAGTTGAAGGTGGAATGCTCCCACATATTGATAATTTCCTAAATTTAATGGATATGATTCCCATCAAAATTAATTAATTTTATGTTATTTTATTTTTAGAATGTTTATTTGAATTTTTGTGAATCTTATGATATTTTATTTTTGTCATTTGGATTTATAAATTAAGATAAATTATTTTTTCAATGTTTTAAATAAAATATACGATTTAAATATTCTAAATATGGAATAAAATATTTTCTAAAAATATATGAGACCTTCATAAAATATGGGGCTCAAAATTTAAATACAAGCGAATTAGGTGGGGCCCACACATGGCGACCAAAGGGCCTACCCATTCGGGTATTCTTCTTGGGAGGAATTTTATCCCTTGTTGGCTTATTTTTTGAGTATAGCCAACTTATCTGATAAATGTTGAATATTTGAGATATTTACTAAATCTTTGAATCAAGATTGATTGATCCAATAATCAAGGAATGAATCTATTAAAATATAAACTTTTTTTATTTAATGACAATCTTGATTCCATAATTAAGGATTTGATTTATTAAAATTTAAGATTTCTTTATTTGATGGGAATAGATTTAGGAAAGGGAGGATAGTGCTCTCTCTCATCTCTTTGAATCTTGATGGTGGATCAAAGAGATGAATAACTCAAATATCTCACCTCACAAGTCTAATTAGGTTGATGGTTGAGATTTGATCTTATGAATTGAAGCAAAATCTATGCCATAGAAAATCTATAAAATGAGGTCTCCCTCATAAGAGACATATTCTCTTCTCTATTTTTAACAATTATATCTCTCCCTATCCAAAATTTAGCTCTATTTTAAAGGGGAGGCACATCCCAATTTTTTATCTCTCTCTTCAAGTTGTACCATATTTTGTTGGTACACACCACCTCTGTTCTTTGTGAGTGTAAAGGGGTGGAACCCCTTGTTAGTAGATCTCTCTCTTTCTCTTCATATTCATCTCTCTTCACTCTAAAATCAAACTAAAAGACTTGATTAAGATTAAGCAATTGAGTGGATTTTTACCATAATAGGTAAATCAACATACTGATTATAGATCCCGAGCACCATCGAAAGGAGGAGACTCGACATGGGATGTACTATGCCCGGTTGAGGTAATCTCTGACAATTTACCTTTTTAAATATTTACTTATCTTCCCATAAAGCAATAAAGTCTACTTTTGTTTCTTGAATAAAGAATTATGTTTAAAGAAGTAGCATTTGAGAATCGATTTTATTTTTATTTTATTTATTTTAAGAGTGCTTTGATTATAATTGGACAATGTAAGTGATCTTGCCGGTGTAGGGGTTAGAATTTTTTTAAAAATATATACACCGTGCTTTATCATAAAGTCATTTCATTGGTATCAAAGCGAGGTTGATATTTTAAGTCATTAAATATCTTTTCCCTTTATTGAGTCAATATCAAACTTGGGAACGAGATGTAAGAAAGCTACTAATCTTTGTGGCAAAGTAATACACCCTTGTTAAGAATGATTGAAAGATTTAAAACACAAAAATATGCATTTTATAGAATGGATATTCTGTGCTATTTTGGAGCAGTTATATGAAGACAATATTGAGTATTTTTCTATTACATACTTCAGTGATTTTGTGTGTCTTTAAGAGTAGGATCTACCTACAAAAATTCAGTGGGAGATCCTTAGGGAATTGAAAGTTATGGATACATCAATGAAGGGTGTCAGTTTTGACCTTGAAAAATCCAGGAACTGTCCAATGAGTTCCGTGATTTTTCTCATCAACCATATTATTTTATTTCTAGCTGAAATTAGATTGTGACTCATAAAATTGAGTCTATTTTCAAATAAAAAAAAGTTTCATTAAGAAATTTTTTATGGTTTAAAAGACATGATCAATTTATTGAAGGGTGCGCAAGTGTTGTTTTCTACAATGAAAACTACTTCCATGACTTGAAAGTCATAATTTTATTTTTATTATGAACAGAATATTTTATTGCTCACGTTAATTTTTTAACTTCCATTCTGAGTCTAGTTTATAATAAAATTTATTTGAGAGAGAAATATCTATTTGAAAAAAGAAATAAAAATTTTGGATTAAAAAGAGGTCATCTTGAATTTTCTGAAATTATGATGTTCTCTTCATTGAGACTTAAATAACTATAATTTTCAAGGCTAGAGTGATATGAAGCTTGTAAAAATGCATGTGCTACTATTATGTATCTAATTTAAAGAAAAATTAGTTTGAAAGTAAAACGCCACAAGGGTAGAGAGAAAATACAATTTTACTAGACAGTGTTCATCTTGGAATTCTATAGTATGAGTTATTTTTGTAATGTGTATGTCACTTTATTTTATTTTTCTGAAGGAAGGTATTATTTGGGATTCATACCATGAAGTTATGACTTGGTTTTGAGTCTAGCTTTCAATATAAGAGATTTCAGGAAGAAATTCTTTGAGGCTCGAGAGAAAACAATTTTTTATTGAGAGATGCTCAACCTGATTTTCTGCTAAGAAAATTGTATTGTGACATAAAAGTCACTAAAAAGTAGACTCAGTAAATCGTGTGACTAATGGATGGGACTGAGCATTATTTTATATTTTTAAGTCTATTTCAATACTCAAAAGGATTTTGAGAATGGATCCCACATCCTGTGGGGGGTCCATGATTCACACAGGCATGCTTTTCTGTTCTATTCTGCTTTAGATTAAAAGAGGTGTCACGTCAAGGCAAATCTTTGGATTCCCAATAATGGAGATCTTTTTAGGGCTCATTAAAAATGGGTTTTATAATGTGTCATGCGTATGGTTTATTATAATAAAATTTCAGAGAGAGGTAATATAGAGTTGGTAAGGTACGACACTCTATATGAAGAATGTCCGATCAGGAAATAACAGAAAGAAAAAGAAACACAATACTTATAAAAGCATATTGGTTTCTTCAAAATGAAAAGATACGTAGAGATGCTTGGAGGTAGCGAAGAAACGCTAAAAAGATTAGAAGAAGAATTGAATTTGTGATATTTGAAATGATGGGATGAAGAAGATTTTTCTTCATAGAGTGAGAAAGGGAGAATCCAAGTGCCGAAGAGATGCACACTTCGTGACATGTGAAACCGATGACCAATATATTCTCCATCAGTTGCGTGCTCTTCTAAGATCACAACCGTTTGTCAAACAAATAAAAACAATGAATCAAGAAAGTTCAGGTACCACGCTACATGGTTTTGAAGTATGAAATCTATTCCACATGACATTATAAGATCATATAAGGAAAGAAGATTCAGTAACTTTTTATATACCTTGGTTATATTTTGGTTAATAGTTTTATGAATATGTATGGAGTATATGGACATTAAGTGATATGTGCTAATAAATTTGAAAGAGCCTGTTTGTGAATACCATGTGTTGGGGTGACTCATTGTGCTAAGAGTACAAACTACTTGAAGTAGTGATACACATGGAGGTGTGATTTGATCAAGGGCTTTGAGTCTTATGTATGAGATACGAGATATGGGTATGGTTCATTCAAATATGTAAGCACGAAAGGAGTGCTCTGATGGAACTCGGTCTTAGTGACCATCTTCCCAATAATGTCCAGTAATATGATGTGTTGCATGTGATAATGATTTTTTCATAAAATCTTCATATTTGCCAAAAAGACATTTTTGTCAAGATTTTGATAACAATTCTTTAGTCAAGCTTTATTTTAGATAAAATTATAATATGGACTTTATGGTTTGTTTGTGTAGCTGTAAACATTACTTGGTAGGTAAATACGGTAAAATGATTTTTGAAGACTAAACATATATTTTAATATTAAATTGGATGTTTTGAGAAAAAAAAAACCTAAGTCTATGAATGTAGTTTTTTTTTGAGAAAATCCTATAACCATGTTAGGTCCACTCAGTCTTTATGAAAAATCATTTAAACCGTCATACTATTATCTTACCATTGCTTGCGATAAATTTACCAAGTCAAAATTTTTTTAAAAGGGAGAAAACCATTATGCCTTCAAGGTATTTATAAAATTGATGGAAAGATTGTCATGCACGGGGTTTTTAAATACTCATATGCATTGACTCATGTTTGTAGTTATTTAGAATCCTCGATTACCTAAGGCTTTGAACCATAGGGAATGTTGTAGGAATGTTATCTTGCTAGGCTTCCTTGACACATCTTATGTTGATTAGATAACTTGGTTTGTATGAATTTACTACCAAGATGACTAATATGGTTGAACCTTTATGGTTTATAAAAGGTTTTGCATGTCGTGAAACTATTGATATTGAATTATTTATTGCATGAGACTTGCTATGCTACCTCATGATATAGATATAAGAATGTTGAGAATGTATATATTGTATGTGCAATAATTGAGTGAGAGCTGCTACAGTCTCGTATTTTTTTATATGCTTGGATATTTAGATATACAGATGCAAGCTATCTCAAGGATGCAGATGATGTGAAGTCTACATTTGCATACATGTTCATGCTTGGAGGAAGTACAATTCTTTGAAAATAAAAGAAACATGATGCAGTGGCAATGTTCATCCTGGAGGCAAAATACATGACATGTTGTTTGGCGGCCAAGAAGGACGTATGGATTAAGAATTTCTTAACCGATTTAACTTTCAACCCGTGCGTTGTGAGATAGTAAGGATTTTCTATGACAACACGACGACGATACGCATGTAAAAAGGAGCCATGATTCTATAATAACTCCAAGCGTATAAAACTAAATATTCCAGTGGGAGCACCTAATGTTTGACAAGCCAGCTGGAACAACAGACTATGGTGTTGTTCACTCATGGAACCCAGATGTGTGGTGCTGGTTGTATGACTATAGAAAGAAGCGATAAGTTTGAAAAACTCCTTTAAGCCATTGAAGATACGATCCCATGCGATGAGGATACGTGATGATTTTTTGTGACAGTAGGTTCATGATTCGCGATGTGATATGGAAAATTGACTATGACCACTTTCAGGATGAGATCCGAGCAATAAAGAGTAAGAGGCATTGCCAAAGGATTGATGATGAAAGCCATGTTGATAAAATTAGCGGTGCACCTTAACGGGATTGTTTAGGGTTGCAACCTTATGCAAACTACACCCTTGATGGATTATTCATTTTACTTCCAAAACTCTTACTCTCTGATTTTTCGTTTTATTTTATGGTTTTATTATCAAGATCTCCCTTTCGTTTCTGTAAGTTGAGCTGCAACAAGACAATTTGTCCTGATATTCTGATTCTAGGATTTTTCTTTTACCGTTTTGATGCTCTATGATGGATTAATTTGGCTTTCTCTACTCTTATTTTATGAGGGTTTTTTATGTTATTGAAAATTCCATTACCATAAATTGAAAATTTGTTTTCGTGTTATGTAATAAATTGGTATGGGAAACCCCCCAGTCCCTTTCTGCGAAAATCTCCCCTTTATTTCATGTTAATTTTCAACTTAGCAAATTGCATGAAAGGATTTGCATTTTTTTTGATTTTTTAGACATTGTTGTTGTTAAATTAATTGGGTTTTTTTCAATGAGCAGGGTCAAGAGAGTCATGTTTTCTAGAGAGAAATAGAGTATCCAATTAAAAAAAAAAAAAAAAAAACTCAAAGGAAGGTGTGAGTTTTCTTATAGGATGACTATAATATATATAGTATAAATTATATGTAAAAGAGACCCTGCAGATGATTCGGTTTGGTTAGTAATAATAGGTTTGCCGCTTATAGACCTCTTTCTTTATTGTATTGGCTCGACTTTGATGCTCATTAGTGGAACTTAGTGTTTTAAGAAGCAGATAGATGTGGTGTCCTCATACACACAAGTTCCAAAATGAATCAACAAATGGAATAGTCCATATTAAAAATTAGCAGGTTTTTCATATTAAAAATTGTTCCTCCACGTTAAAGGTAAAACCTATGCCCCAATGCTTCAAGAAGAACCAAAAGGGTAAACGCAATTAGGATTAAAACAAACTCTTGGTTTTCGAGAGCAAAATGGGAGAACGGTCTTGTTTTTCAATCAATATTTGTTAGTTCTATGCTAAATTTTACTTGAACAAAAGCGCAGAACGGATCCATTATTATGTTAGGTACCCTAGCCAGTAGCCACTAAAGTTTTAGAGAAAGAAAGAGAAAATTAAAGAAGAAATGGGACTTTCTATTAATCCCACATTGGAGACGGAGGTGAGATTTCGGGGGTCCGCTACATATAAATAGGGTCAAGAAGAGGAGAGGAAAGCGTGATCCTTCAGGCAGAACGGGAAGATGAGGAGTGGTATTTTCTCACTTGTGAGATGAGTGTCTGCCCCATGCCTGGTTACGACAAATGGGCACTCACATTCTAATCCTATCTGATTCCTTGCCTATGGATCCTTTTCATTTTTCCATACAACAATATACAAAGCGCTCTTTTTACATGAGGTTCGTATTGGTTTTTCCTTTTTCGAAAAATGTACCACTTGTTTTCCTTAATGCAATCCACTCTTTTTGATATGCTGGTTTTTCTTTAGTGGCATATGCTGATCGATGTCCTCACAAGTGTTTTATTGCTTTTTTCTTCTTTTTTTTTTGGTTTGATTTTTCCAGTTATTTTCAGGGTGAGGTCTCTTTGCACCTAGAAGTAAATTGTACTTGTAAATTTTGTAGTTCTGTTTGGAAATTTAGTTCGGGTGTTAGAAACTTTGTGGTGGTTCGAAAATCTATTTTTATATCCTGCCATAACTTTTAAACTTTGAAAAAATAGTATGGATCATGCATAAAATCTTAAAAATAGACAATTTAGACAAGATGCATTTCTTAAAAATAGACAACTTGTTATAAGATGCATTGTTTTTAGTACTTAAAAGACCTTGTTTTCTTCATTTCCATATGCCACGAGGTCGAGATGATGAATTTGACCATTTTCCAACATTAAAAATTCTTGTACAATATTTTTGATGTTTATCTTATTTTAATAATGGGAAAATATGGGATTAGCCTACTAGCTCATATGAGTCCAATTTGGGCCGATTTGACAATTACAGATTTTCAGTAGTGTTTGAATTTTATTTTATTTTCTACATGTCCAAATCATTTGAAATTTTAAGTGTGTTCATAAAAAATACATGAATCTTCGAAAGATATCAAAAAAATATTTTGCATTAAATAAAATGATAAAAAAACCCCCCGAAAAGTTTTAAGGGGTATTTTGGTCATTTTAATTTTGAAGGATAGTTTTTTTTATATTTTTATTAGGTGCGCTTCATGAGAAGAACACATATCAATTTCAAGTCATTTGGATCGGTATAAAAAAAAATTAAACTTCAAACACTACCAGATATCTGTGATCGTCAGATCGTCTCAGATTCAATCTGAGATGTTGGGCTTATATTTATATGAGTTAGTGGGCTAATCTCAACTTTTTTTTTTTTAATAATATAAGGTGGACACCTTATATAAATTTGTTCTTTTTAGGTTTATAAATTTGTTTCCTTATTTTTAGGTTTGTTTTGTGTCTTGGTAAGTATCAATTTGAGTGTCTAAATGTTAATACCAGTATCGAGGTGTCTTCTGTCTGAGTGCCCATTGGCATTATGCATGTCCTTACAGGCGTCTAAGTTAGGATTAGCGGCTCTTGAAGTGTCGCCGTTGTTCTACAAGTGTCTTGGTAGTTTTATGAGTGTCACAGTTTGTTAAATGTGTATGTTGACTCCACAAGTGCATGTCTCGTATTCGTTTAATACTGTGGCACTGCTACACATGGTCATTATCATTTAAACAACTCCCATTGACGTATTAACATCCGTGATGGTAAAATGGGCATTAATTAAAAAAAATGGCGAAAATGAGTATAAGTGTAAATAAAATGATATTTTAGTATGTAATATTTTATTATTTGGCCGCCGAGCTCGATTCTTTGATTATTTGTGAGGATTTAAACTTTATCTTATAATTGTTAACTTTTATTCAATAAAATATCAGATATTGTTAAAAAAAAAAAAAATTGTCTATTGCTAGTATTCAAAAACTAAGGCATATATCTGATAACTTCCCTTTCTTTTTTTTTTTTGACTTTCAATGCAATTTGGTTAGGTGTGGCAATGGACCCAGTTCTGACTTGGGACCTGACAGGTGGGCCCGATTGGGTCCAAATCTCGAACCCAAATACTATTTAGGTCCAGGTCTGGGTCTATATAGACCCGACCCGAATAGTGTTAATAGTTAAATAATATTTAATATATAATATTAATATAACTATATATTTAGTCATAATATTTTAAATAATGTATGTATATATTTAACAAATATATAAAATTTATTTAAATATAATGATGTTTGAGAAAATTACGTAGAAATCCGTTATACTTTATGTTATTACAGTTACACCAAATAGTTTCCATTATTACACAACTGTCTATTTTTTATTTTCTATAGCGTCATTTTTTAAAAAAGACAACTTTGCCCTTTTTTAGATGTTCATCATTCGCATTTGTGAAATTTTCGGATGTTCAACATCCGAAAATAGCTGTAGCTCCAATAGTGTATTTTTCTCGTTTCGGATGTTCAACATCCGAAAATAGCTGTAGCTCCAATAGTGTATTTTTCTCGTTTCGGATGTTCAACATCCGAAAATAGCTGTAGCTCCAATAGTGTATTTTTCTCGTTTCGGATGTTCAACATCCGAATTATGACATCCGAAAACTTCACTGTGAAAATTCAGACTTGTTGGATGTTCGCAGAGCCATTTGTTGCATGTTTGTATAGCCATTTTCAGATGTAAAATATCTGAAAATGTCATAATTTTGGATGTCTAATATCCGAAATTATGATATTTTTGGATGTCCAACATCCGAAAACTTCATTTTGAACTTACAACATCCGGAAACTTACTGTTGCTCAAACCTTAATTTCCACACCCTAATAGTGATAGCCCCTCAATCGTCCCTTAATTTCCACACAGGAGAAGTCTCAAATCCTCGCCGTAACCCTAGAAATGGACATATGTGATACACGCTCTAACCTCTCTCTAGGGTTTAATGTCCATTCCATTTCTGACAAACATGAAGCATCTGGACCTGTTCGAACCCCAATTGCTGATGATTCAATTTACTTTCAACTCGATTCGAGCTTTTCCAATGATCAGTCATCGAATTCTGCTTCCTCGATACCATTGCAGCTGCTTGAGCAATCTGATTACAGCAATTTCGGCAATTGTGTAGAAGACACAGAAGTGGGGGAACAGAGAGAAGAAGAATTCAGCATATTGGGTTACCCCATGTGCTTGAAGAGAAGAAGAGAGAGGGACGGCTCTGTGGTTTCTGCTCAGAAAGGCAGCAACATGAATCATGTTCATCATCGCCTATGGATTTAGAAGCCAGGAGAATGGCAGTTAGGGTTTGGGGAAAGCAACCTTTAGCAAATTTTGCAATGTATACAGGCCTTATTTTGCCTAAAGATCGAATCATGGGCCTTGATTCTCCATCTGATGGTCATTTGAGTCATGCGTATTACACACCCAGTGGCAAAAAGGTATATGGTGCTTCGATTTTTTTTGAGAAGACGAAGTAAAATACACTATCTCGCTATTTTCGGATTTGAACATCCAGAAACAGTAAATTGAACGTTTTTTTTCAAGCCTACGTTTCTGAAAACTTCACATGCAAAGATGTTAAGATCACTGCCATCCAGGCCAATGGAGCTTTATACAAGAATCAAATATATTGATTAATAAAATTATCCAAGATAACTCCCTCTTGCTAATGCATCTGCTTCATAATTGCACTTCTTAAAAGTGCTCAAAGCAATTCCAAGCAAAAAATAATTCACAAGTCGAAAAAACCAGAGTACTGCTCAAAATTTTCAGGCTCATGGACTTGGGATTGAAAATAAGATTTTTGTTTTTTGGGAAAATATATTAAAATACACATTCTTTTTCCAACTATTTACTATTTTACATTTTTCACATCCTTTCTCAACTTGTAAAGGATATTTTGAAATGGAAAAAGTTTGTATAAAGATGCTACCTTATAATGCAGAGCTACAGATGCCTCTAAAAAATCCATTGGAAAAGGTACTTTTAATGTTGAGAAATCGTTTGTTTGATCATTTCAACATCGAGATGTATGACTATAAAAAATAAAAAGATTGTCTAAACAATAGTGTATTTTACAACATATTATTTACACCGTCCATTTTCAAGATTTTCATATGTTTATAGATCTATTTGATTTTAACTATTTTTGAAATTTAAAATTTTATAATTAAATATAAAAATAGATTTTTGAGATAATCCTAATGACATTTTGCATCAAAATTATATACCATGATAAAATTTGAAGGTGCACCTTACCTCTACGCCTACGATGCATACGTATGCAAACTGCCCTTTTGAAATTAAATCAATGCATAGGTAAAATGTTGAATAGTGAATATCTCTTTTGAAATTAAATCAATGCAAATAGGTAAAATGTTGAATAGTGAATATCTTAGGTACATTTTGACAACTTTCCCTTTTGTTTTTTTTGGATGAGATAAAAGCAGGAGGTGGCCCAGTGCCTTTTACTCCCGCGGGAGCATCTAATCCTTTCACGTTATTGCAGCATTAAAAAATTAATTGATGCTAATGGTCCTTTCACGTTATAGCAGCATTTAAAAAAATCAATTGACGCAAGTGGTGCCGCCCAGGTTCGAACTGGGGACCTTTAGTGTGTAAGACTAACGTGATAACCACTACACCACGGCACCTCCAACCCACATTTAGGTATATAACTTTTAAAATAACCGCTATCTATAAAAAGTGGAACATATACTTTTCTATTTTGAAAATGGTTTTATATTTCAGGTAGTATTAAAACTATCCGAGAGTTGAGTGTGGCATGCTAGCTTGGCACGCCAGTATTTCTGAGTGCAGGTAGTTTGGTGGGAGGGACATTCTGCTTGTAGTAGAAATGGAATTCAAGATGTTATATTACGGCTTCCCGCCACCCTGAACGTCCCATTCTTAGGACAAAACCTCTGTTATCAGCAACATACTATCAATAGCAAGGTTATGGCTGTATTAATAATGAAAAAAAAATATTTTCTTGCTAATTTAAAAAAAAGTAGGTGGATTTGCAATTGGTTACCTTCTTTCTTGGGTGGTTATTTGCATTATTTCCCTAGGTAGATGAAGATAGGGTCTTTTATTCCTATCAGGACATCCAAACGCGCCCTAAAGGGATGCTTATAATCTTGAAACTCCGGAATTTTGCATGTCCTAATGCAAGGATAAATTACTATTTTATTTAATTTTTTTACAAATTGCTTGGGGTCCTCAATAGATGCTAAGAAGATGCAAGAAACTTGTTTAAATGTAGGTGAAGGGGCTTGAATGGCAAGACATGCTTATAGACACATCTCTCCTCTCTTACATTGCTTGCATTTCAATTGCCAAGTGAATTACATAGTAGGTAGTTTGGTCCATCACCATCATTAAAAGTTTCTCAATTATTTGTGATCGGCTATATAATAGGTAGATAATTACCCGTGAAAAATGTCACATCAGTTTTACGAGCGAATGCCATTGACATTGCTAATGCCTCATGGTCCTATTATTATGACAAATCTCTTCATGCTGCTAGGTTACCCATGCTTTATTTTTCTTGGTCTTTGCCATATTAAGCAATAACAAATGACAATATTGTGCACATATCCTTAATTTGTAATATGTTTTATTGAAAACTTTATAATTTTGTTCATGGATCTTTTTTTTTTTTTTTTTTCTTTTTTAGAAATTACATCTTTGATGTATTCAAGGATGAGATCACATATAAAAACAATGTTCCTAGAAAAATAGGTCTTCAAGACATCTTACAACCGACATAACATGCATCAAAATCGACGGTTGGCAATGCACCAAATTCACATTCTTCATAAAACAACTTTTTGATTTCTACAAATGTTGTCTAAAAGAAGGCCACGCGCACTCGTGTTTGTAAGATTTCAAATTGGGTGGTTGTAAGAGTATCATTGATCAGACTTGAAGTTTAAAAAAAAAGTTATCAAAATTCATGACGAACCTCAAGCTGTCCAATTTAACATCTAATGGTTAGGAGTAATTTGACCTTCTTGTAACAAAGATATATAGTCTCATAGTATAAAATCCCCTCGTCCCTCATTTTAACATGTGTGTGCATGTAAATAGATTCGTCGTTGTTAAATAGGGCTTTATATCCTCTATCTTTGTTTCTGTAGATGTAATTTGAATATTGGATGTACCGCCATCCTAACACTTATGGACGACTTCTCTTTTCAAACATGGAGGTAAAAAGTTTACACTTTCGAGTTTTGGGAAAGGTTTCTATACTTTTTCTACTGTATAGAACATATATACTTCCCCTCCCATCCAGCCATCCAATTTAAATCAAGTTAGCTACTGACCGTCTGATCTAGATCCAATGCCTCAAATAATTTATTTTTAATTACTTTTTTTTTCAAATTATATGAATATCAATCTTGGTACGTGTCATCATCTCAATGGGACACACCTAAAAATGATATTAAAAAAATATATTCGATAAAAATACAATACCCAAAGTATCCCTGAAAACTGGTAAGCTTAGGTGGTTTTTTTTGTTTTAAAATAAATCATGATGCCTTGATGCTAATAATAGAAGGGAAAAGCACACAAAAGACGTCATAAGTGTACCTACGGCTTGTGGTCACACGAAGCCATGTAAAACCCGTACTTTATTGATGCTTTATGATAGCTAATAAAAGGTTGCAGGTAACAAGACATTTGAATCAGTAGTTATGAATTACTTATTGCAAGGAATCAATGTGGTCTAAAATCAATATTTTTGAAATTTTCATATGAAATTAATAAGTTAGGACCATAATTCCTTACAAAGAAAGAAGGATAGATATAAGTGGTTTAGAATTATGAAGAGTCAAGAAACTCAGAGTCCATTAATCCTATGAAAATATGAATATACAGATTTGTTTTTCATAGGCAAATTACAGATCAGAAAATATAGGAATAAATCACAGATTCTTATAATATACTAAGTCTTACCATAAATATAAGATACTCACGTTGAAAATAAGAAGAGACCAAGTCAAATTGCTTGGTCATCTAGTTGGTTATTGGTAATAAAGCCTCCTACAATTTACTTATATTTCCAAGATTCATTGTGATTGTTCTACAATTTACTTATATCTCCAAGATTCATTGTGATTGTCCTTTATATATAGAAGCACATATTTGTGTAATCTTTATCCAAAATAGTGAAGATGTAGCCAGTTGGGCTTGGATTCGTGGACGTAAGGCTTCGGCCAGAACCACGTAAATCTTGTGTTATCTCTATTCTTCTCTCTCTATTTTCCATAAGAGTTATCCTCTTCCCTTTTCTTCTCTCTCTGTTCTTGTGTTATCTCTCTTCCCTCTTCTTCTCTCTCTATTTTCCATGAGAGTTATCCTCTTCCCTCTTCTTCTTTCTCTGTTGGGCTTTAGATCCGTAAACGTAAGGTTTCGGCTTGAACTACCTAAATCTTGTTTTATCTCTCTTCCCTCTTCTTCTCTCTCTATTTTCCATGAGAGTTATCATCTTCCCTCTTCTCCTCTCTCTATTTTCCATTCTCATGTTTGCTCTCTCGAATCTTAACATGGTATCAGAGCAAGCAGATCCATCCTGAGCAATCTATTGTGGCCTATCGATTTAACTTGCTTGCACCGGTGGTTTAGCTTTGCCTTGCTCAACATTTAAATCAAGAACTAAGACCATATTCAAATCGAGGCCATGAGAAACATATGGTGGGTCTTCATCCAAGATCTTTGCTTTCATTACATCATCGCCCTTTGAGCGATATGCTTGCTCCTTATCTTACTCACAATATCCATCAAAACAACCCTTGTTCCTTATCTTCTCTCTCTTTAGAAGAAGAAGATCGCCTAGTGAAGTGCTCAAAGAGAGGTCTGCTTTATGCCCAAAGAGACTAGTTTTCTCAGCTTGAGCTGGCAAAGAGGCAAGCAGTGGTTAATACTGTCTATGCACCTCCAATCAAGAGTGTAATGGAGATCTAGAGCACTTCTTAAATGACTGGACATATCTCTATCATCAGGGCAGCAGATCTACCCTATGTGAAATTTCCCTTCCCTTTATGCGATGAAGAAGATGCCATTTTTGCAGCATTCGTTCTTAATTGAATGAGGCTGTCGATTTTCTCCCTATTTTTGGAAGTAAAATGGGACATTGTTACTGGAAAATCAGCTGGTTGGCCGAAAATGATGCTCAGTGACCCAAGAGTTGGGATCTTTCCTTCCGGAACACCACCCGTGCTTTATTTTTTAGGTGGGGAAGAACTTGACGTCGTCATCGCGTGGCAGGTGGTGAGTGCCGTTGGTGTGAAGTGTAACACGTGAAGGAGCGATGTCTGCAGGACCCCTCTTCAGGGGTGGATTCCCTTCAAGGGTTGATTCCGGTTGGGTTAATCGGAAACGGCAT